TTTGTTTCTGTGTGTGTGCAGGTTTGAAGGGTTCCACTTTAATCATTGATCAGGGTCTTTTTAATCCCCCCCCCCCCCCCCTCCTTCTATTATCCGCTGGAGCAGAAAAAGAAGAGGAAATAGATATTGATTCTTTAGCTTTATTATTTTGTCATTGGATGACTTTTCTGTGGGTGCAGGAGCAGCACAGACAGCAGATTTAGCTTCTTTATGGTTCCTTTTTTCTCATCCTGGCTTTCTGAACGTTTGGTTTTTACAGACAACTTTAAATAAAATAAAGCAAAACGCTTGTTTCCTCTTACCAATGCCGATAACTTTCTCGATCTTGATACAGGAAGCGTCTATCTCTTTGGCGAACTCGCGGACGGCTTGATTCGGGTCCTCGTAGGTAAACGGGTCGACATAAATCCTGACACCTGAGAACAGAAGCATGAAAAGAAAGGATGGAAAAAGAAAGGAGATGGTTAATTCATTCCGTCAACTCCGCTCTCCTCCCTCCATCTGTTCTTTATTTCCATCATGCTGCGGGCTACACCGCCTTCCTCTGGACCCTCTCCTCCTCCCCATACCTCGCTTCCCACTGCGACTCTATTGCTTTTCATGTCACTGTGACTCCGATGAAGATGGAGCTCATTAACTTGAAATTCTTCTGGCATGCAAATAACGACGTTGATGGCTTGATAATGAGGTGTTTGAAACATGTTAGCAAGCAAGTACATTAACTTCCAAATAGTTTATTTCTGTCCCCGTTTTATGGGACTGTGCGGTTTAGCGTGCGTGTACGTTAGCACACCTGGCGGCGCTAATGGTTTTCAATTAGAGAGCGCGTAGGTGGACTGTGAGCTATGAGTTACCTTGATGTAAGTGCTTCTCTTCATCAGAGTCCTGCTTAGCTTTGCTGTATTTACTCCTTCTGGGGAAAAAACAAAACAAAACAACAAAAAAACATTCTTAATGTGATTTCACCATTTATCACATCGTAATTCATAACAATGAATTAAGTTAGATGAGAAATCAAAGCATCTCAATTATGATCAACTAGAAATCAGAATCATACATGAAAACCTTCAGCTGAGGGATTCCAGATTTTAAACTTTTTTCCTTCAAAAGCACACATTTAAGATTAACTCTGAACGTATCGCTGCCTCAATCTTTACAAATATGCTGCTAGTTTCTGGTTAGCATAGCTTACACTAAACTATTAGCAATGCAGCGTAGCTAGCATCATGTTTGTACGATGGAGTATCAGACTAGAGATTTTTTTTTATTTTTAAGAATAAAGTCATCATATATCAGCCCGTT